ACAGACAAACGACAATTTTATGACACACTGGCAACTGAAGCAAAACAGGTCTGCCAAAGGTAAAGGAGACCTCAGGATATTATATCAGATACCCAGGTCTCTATCCGGTTAGAGATCAACCCAGATGATGAAGCCAATAAAATACATTCAAGGGAAACTAATTACCATGGAGGAGAAACAAATAAAACACTGCGCTGATCACTTCAAAGGACTCTTGGATCGACCACCATATGTGACTCGTCCAGAAATACCAATGGACACCAGTCCGTCAGTCAAAACAGAAATTTTGAATGGTGAAGTCTAGGAAAGCTGCAGGACCAGACGTAATTCCCCGCAAAGCACTGAAAACGGACCCAGAGACCGTGGAAGATCTTCTTACGCCATCATCGCAAAGGGCTTGGAAAGAAGGAGAGGTACCCACCAGTTGGAGGAAAAGCTACCTCGTAAAGCTTAGTTCCATGCAAGAAACGGTGTGGAATAATTCCCTTCTTCACGCCAGGTAAAATACTAAGCTACATCATCCTGGGTAGAATAAACGATGCAATGGATGCAGAATTCCGCTCAGTACAAGCTGGAATTAGAGAAAGCGAATCATATAATGACTAATTGCAACTACATGCATCATCCAACAGAGCGTAGAATGGCAGTCAAACTTCTGCCTCCCTTTTTTATCACTTTTAGTTTTTACTAACAAAATTGCATTTTCTTACGGGGTTGATAAGGCATATCCCCTGTTTGAAGTGGCGCCTCCAGCTTTACCTTGAGGACATTCGCGCGGTCTAGTTGATTTCAGTTTGGCTGATTTGTTTCGTTCGATTTAGGTGGCTGCATTTGACGTGATTCTGGTTTCTGTTTGGCTTGAACTGTATTGATTTTGTTAAGAATAGTCGTCAAAAGCTGCCTCTAGGCCTGAAGGTAGTTATGGTGCAGGAGGATGCTTGAGAATGTGTTTCATGTGAAAATTATAGGGTGCACCTAAAATCCTCCCGTTTGCGGCGTCTCAATGATTTCTGTAGAGCTTCGTTTTATCACTTGTGTCCATATTTGTCGTTCACGAGTGTTTCAGTAAATGTTTATGGCTATAATCAGGAACTTTCCGAAACGGTAACTGTGCACAGTTACCATGGTAAGGAATTTATATTTTTTTCCGCTATAGTTTCCAAGTCAATGTATCTTTTAAGTTGCTTACTGTACTCTGTTGGCTATTCATGAATTTTTTATTGAAAAGCTTCTGTTTTCATTTACAGTGGTACCGAATGGACGCATTGGCAACTGGAGACAATGGCGACCAACCTGCCCTTCCTATATCAGTGGATATCAAAAAACCTTTAGACGGAATTATGTTTAGTTACCGGTATACCAGTTGGGTTCAAGTAGAAGATGCTCTAAGTCAGCTGGAATCAGTAATATATGTACATATGTATGACAGAGTATTCCTAGGCAACTCATACACATTATGTAATCAAAAAGTGCATACGGGACCATGAATCTCAGGATTTGAAGTACAAATTAGTAGTCTTTCGTTGTACATATGGCATGAAGCGAAAAACTAGAGGTTCAGGTTTAGGCGTCAAACCGTAAGAATTCTATAATTCACATTTGTGACGCCTTCCCAAAGTCTGCCCATTTTCTAATTTTCAAATGATCCTCCTCCTCTGGATTACACCTCGAATTACGTAATATATTTTCCAGTACAAATTTACCAGTATCTGATTGGTCCTATGATCTCTTTTTTAAATGTAATTAAGACTGCACAGCTTATGTAAATGGACCGTCGATAAGTAATTTTCGTCGCCATTTACGTCTTTTTCTTATGATTCAGTATGGGGATATTATGTTCTTAGACAGAATACGTCTACCACATTTTAGAATCATAACTCGTGCATTAATAATCATATTTAATCCTGCAGCACGTCGAATGCGGGGAGTAATATTTTCGGTGTTGCGCTTCTTTGGCTTTTTGTTTCAGATGACATATATATATCCACATATATATACTGCTTGTAGATCTCGTCAGAAGCACACGTCACATCACTTATGATCTATAAAATTCGCATTCTGTAATGAGCAGTACTGAATGACGGATGCCCCTATGTGTGTTTGACTAGGCCTTCCCTCTTCGGTTCCCTCCTTGCGTTCTTACTAAATTCAAGTCCAACACAAGCTGTTGGCTTCTAATTTTACACACGCTGTTGATCGGTTATGCTGACGAATACTTTGATATAAGGTCTGTTTATTAAAAATAACAAAAAACAGGAGAGACGAAGAATCAAGAGCTTGTTAAAATATAGGGAGAAAACCTTGAAATACTTTGTTTTTGGTAAGCGAGGTCCAGGAAACTTATAGTGCTAAGACCTTTGTTCGCAAGTCAAATGAACACAGGAACTATCAAAAAGGCGGTTTCAGCTAAGAAAATTGTCTTCTCGACATATATGATAAATTTGGAGCCGAGTGCATTGTCTGCTTGTAAAACACGCCCGGGAACATTAATCAGTATTGTTAGCGAAGAGAGAACGCAAGGGTGTATGCTTTTCGATAACACAACATTTGGTGAATTCAGGACATTCAGCTCCATTTGAAAAGTCCTTCAAAGTCATATACAAGATCCGATCAAACCGATCCAACAGGGTGAAATCAAGACATCTGGAGATAGTTGAGTCACTGCCAGTCCAAAAGCTCAAGTCCATTCTATGTGTCGAGAAGAAATATGTCCAACTGTTACCTCTACCGTGGCCACCATGATAGGTCAGTCCCCCCAGTAATAACTATCCTATTAGCTTTCATGTCCAACCTTCCTGTTTATTTCTGTTATTTTTATGGTTTTAATTCCTGTTTCCACTGAACTGAATTTATCTCGCATGATCAAGGTCATTGGAATAACTAGGCACCTGAAGGTCATTTTCGTTCATTCAAGACGGCCATTTTGGATTTTTGTCCCCTAGCCGTTCGTTTACACATTGGCTTTTACTCTTTTACTTCCTATCTGCATTACTAGATTTGTTTTTTATATCTGGGCTTCCCACCTATTTTGTTATTACTACGTCGCTAATCCGTAATTGTACAAACTGTCAGGTTTTTCAGTAACTATGATCATATCATGTCTTATCTACCTGATCATCCTGATTATTACATTTTGAAATTTTACTTATTTGACTCTTGACCGAAAATAATTCTGGAAGCAAAGAAAAGCGTTACACAAGTTATTATGGTTAAAGAACATGCTTCTTGGATAGCAGTATTACCTGGAATAGTACAAGCTGATGTTATAATGATTACTGAAGCGCAACTGTCAGTGGGCCTGGACATTAATTCACTCATAGTGTGGTATTTCTGTCCCAGGCCAAACACAGATGTTAACTGGCACTGCTGTTTACATTCGGAATGACACAGGAATTAGGTCAAAGTTTTCTGAGGCGCATGATGGTGGCACTGGAGAGGCCGTAATTTGTGTTATTTATCTGAGTAATGAAACTAACGATCGGGCTCATATATAGAAGTCTCATCTGTCGACCTTATGACTTCGCATTAGACCACCTGCGGTTCGGGTGGAGTGGTTGATACGTCTCTGATAGCGAGTTACTTTAAGACATCACATGTTTTTGGGAGGGATTAACGTCAACTAGCCTGTACGACTGTTTCGCCAGTGGACACACGCTGATACTCCTTAAATATGCCCTTGTCTAGCACGTGTATTCACCAGCATGGCACTACCCTGAGTACGATCCCTCTATTAGGGAATCAGCACCAACAAACCAGGAAAAGGATGTAGGTGACAACAAGTACCTCCAATCCCAAGGAAGCACTGACTAGACAGTCGTCATTTTTAGTTTTAAAACTCATGGCTTTACCCAAAGGCCAACACCTCACCCAAACATTTGAAAATAAGATGTATAGGCTATCAGGAACTAAGCGTTCTGAAGTCGCTGGTCGTTTAATATAAACGGGGCCATCAAGAAGCTTCGGCAAGACTTAGAAATACAATAAAATGCATCACAGCATTTCGTACTTTGTTCCACTCCTTCAAAGCTGATGCATGAGTCTTGGATAAATAATGAAGTAGGAGGGTTACCAAGACACCGAAAATGCTTATAGGATCAGTCTACTGTCGAAGGGAAGAATAAGTTTCAGACAGAATACTGTGAAATTTAGAGCCTTTTTAAGTATATGATCAACGGAGCGAGATAACAAATTACCAATGAACGAAGCTGTTGTCGATGCCATTTTAAGCATTCTACAAGGTGCTCTACTTAGCCCTCCTTGGTAAACCGAAAGGGTGTAGATTTAATCATTGTCTGTGCAGTTGTTTGCGGGACTATAGACTGGGTAGGATGCAGGTAGTAAGGGTAAGTGGTGTACTAATAGGTGTTAGGTTGAGGACCACAGGGTGCCGTTCTGGGTCCCTTGCTATTAATAATACACATAGACGAATTGCTGAAAATTTTTACTTTGTCCTTATTATGGTTTGTGGGTCATATAAGGATCTGGAGATCTATAAATAATAATGACGACAGGTCAGTCTTACAAAGTGACATAGATAAATTAACTGAATGGTTTAATCCTTGAAGTTTAAAAATTAATCCTTGACAAAGCTCAGCGATGCATCTATGCTAGAGTCCTTAAACCTCATACATTCTGGTGGATACAGATGTTAAGAAACAAAGCGACTCAGGAGTTATTGCCAGCTGCATATTGCAATGCAGTTCCACTCAAGGCTTTTAGACGCAACAGGTGAGCCGAAGTGCTAGCCGCTTAGACAAGTCTATGTTTAAAGTATTCTGTCCAGGCGAATGTCAGTCTGCCGTCAAGTTTTCTTCCGGTGAGCGTGCATTTGTCGCAACCTGGACTGGCATTTTGGCCCACTATAAATTTCACTTCCACTCTAGTCGGTGCATCACAGATGACCGCTGTCAAACGAATGTTGAAGTGCTAATTCAGTCTGGTAAATGTATGCCTCGACTTAATATATCCCTTAGCTCACACTCTGGCGGTACGTTCGAAATTGGTGACATTTTTGCACGTGTTTGCTCTGATATTCATTTACTGCTTATAGTCATATAATCCTTGAAATTATGGTCCAAATTTCTAAAAAACGTGTTCGTAGAAACACAGTTGTTTTAGATAGTGCCTCAACCTCGGTTATAACTGCATTACCACCCTGTAATACAGCATTAACTACTAGCTCACAAAATGGCTTGAGTGCAATTCTCACTCCTGTGATACAGATGAAAGATGTTCTGTTAGAGAACTCTGAGATCTGTAAATTAGACCTCCTTGTGAAAGATATCCAAAGGCAAGTAAATGAACTTCAGGAAAAATTAGGTCAGTTTGATAGAATGTCACTGCCAATGTCAAATATCACGGAGAGCGGTTCTGATATTGGCCAGGTTAAGTCTTTACTGGATGTAACTCAAAGCAAGCTTTCGGATTTAGACCCAATAGCCTGTCTGTTAAGAAAGCATCCTAAAATGTCTCCAGACACCCTAAATAAGGCTGAAAATCTGATTGACTGCTTGGCTGCGGAGGTGATGAAGCGTATAACCTCTTCTCACCAGGCTATAGTTTACAATGTCCCAGATTCTCTTCCTCTGAAGACTGTGAAACACAAAATCCTGATTTGTTGCGGCATGGCTAGTGTTCCATGTGAATGCAAAAGACTTCGTAAAAAGTCTAACCAGGCTAACTGTCCCATTATTTTTAAGTTCAGTAATTCCCTTGATTCTAGTAAGTTTACTAAATGTCAGGATCACCTAAGACTGAACAGCAGTTATAAGTCTATAACCATAGCTCAGGATAAAACACCTTGTCAGCGCAGAATAATGCGTAGTAATAACCTGGCCACCTCCTCTAGCTTAGAATTACCCAAAAACGATCGTGCACAGCAACAGTCACCTAATGCTGACATTAGCATTCAGCAAACCACACAACAACCACGCATGGCAATGGAACTAGGGACTGATTTAGATACCAGTACCCCTGTAAATAACGTCTCACCGAAAGATGTTAAAATAGGTAGAACTGCTGCAAGCTGTTCTAAGAAATTCTTACCCAAACGTGGTGACCTCACCATAATGAACAAATTTCGCCGGGTTGAGACTAATGATGGGGAAGAATACTTTGTATTCAATACGCTTGCTGAGAGAAAGACTGTCAAAAAACCCTCACCTCTTACGAAAAGTTCCTCTCGAAACACAAGTATATCTGGTGGTTTTCAGTATGCTCCACCTTATAGAAAGTCAGGCCCCAAAACCCCCAAAGTCTTACAACCAAAGCACCTTCCCTCTCAATTTCCTTTAAGTTATAAAACCAACACGAAAGTGTGTACCGGTATGATGGATAGCACGTGGATGGGTAGACCATTTGATGCTATGCTTTTTAACCGTCAACCCAGGCCCAACATCTACTATCCTTATATCCAGGAACAAATGGTAAATTTTCCAAGTGTCCCGAATCACTGGTACGACCCATGGCACCTAGGACCACCTCACTGCACTCTAACCCCGATGTACAGACACCCAGTCCGACCCCCGTATCATTCATAAACTCTTGCGTTGTTGACGCACAAACAGAGTTAGGTTATGGTGATATCTTAAGCCAGTTTGTAGTATCCCGTGACTTATTCACGATATTGCTAATTAATGCACGTTCCTTAATCAATAAGATATCTGAACTAAGGGCATTATTATTTATCGCCAAGCCTACTGTAGCTCTGATTACTGAATCATGGTGCTCATACTCTGTACTTGATGTGCATATAGGCATAGATGATTACACTGTACACCGTGCAAATAGAGATTGCAAGCGTGGTGGAGGATGTCTCATATATATACATAACTCATTCGTAGCCAGTAAGGTGGAAGATGAAATACTGAACGAGGTACCTGATTCACTCTGGGTCGTCTTACAAGGAGATAAGTACAAGCTTCTCATAGGCTGTGTTTATCGAGCACCAAGCTCAACCAAAGAAACTGATGCGTTATTAGCTAAATCATTCGCACACGCCTCATCGTTTAGTACTAATTACAAAATAATTGCAGGGGACTTCAATCTTCCAGAAGTCAATTGGTTAAGTAGTTCCGGCCCCCAACGCTTCGACGAATTACTTGCCACTATCGATTGTTATGGATGGCAGCAACACGTCCAGACACCTACTCGTGGTGACAACATGTTGGACCTTGTGTTTTGTCATGACACAATCCCAGTCTCCACCTATGTTGGTAACAGATTTTCCAGTAGTGACCATAGAATGGTACTCTGCTCTCTGCCTTTCTCACCACTAAATACAGGAAACAAACAGGATTCAGGGAGCTTGATTTGTCGTAGTTACAAACATACAGACTGGGGATTAGTCCAAGAACTCATTCGACTCTGTCACTGGGATGAATATTTTACCACTGACTCCCTGGAGGCTGTAGTGTCCCTATTTTACAGGAATGTTATCCTTTGTCTAGATACTGTTGCTCCTAAGAAGGTAGTGAAATTAAGTAGACACCAAGCTGAATACATTCCGAGGGCATGCCGCAATAAGTTAAGGAAGTTGAAGAAACAGTACTATTCCACTAAGGATATATCACTACTGCACTCAATCCATGAGTCTCTTGAATCTATCAAGCGCCAACGCTCTCAAAAGGACCTCGACGAAGAATTAAGGGCACTTGAAAGCACCTCCAAAGTTTATAACTTAACAACACTTCTTAAAAAACGAATGCAGTCGACTAGGGACATCCCCTATTTACTTCATGACAAAGTTATCTACAATGTGCCTGCCACCATCTGTGAAATATTCAGTGAGTGGTTTGCAAACTTCAGTTTAGAAACGCGCATTCCTGGTGAAACCGGCCCCCTTACTAGCTCTTTCCTCGGAAGCATAGTGTTCACCGACCAATTAATAGAACAAGCAGTTAAAAGCCTGAAACCTTCCACTAGCACGGGACCAGATGGCCTTGCTTCTATAATTTTCAAAAACAGTGGGTGTGATATACCCCTACTACTTCTTAAATTCTTCTCAATATCTATGGACACTGGCACTTACCCTAATGAGTGGAAAACTAGCTTCATAATTCCACACTATAAATCCGGTGATAAGGCAAACGTCCGCAATTACAGACCTATAAATATAACCCCAGTTGTCTCGCGAGTCATGGAGAAAGTTGTCAAAGATCAGTTGTCAGACTATCTACTTAAGGAAGATCTTGTTACAAGGTCTCAACACGGATTTCTCAAAAATAGGTCTTGCGTTACTTGCCACTTCGACTTTTTCAACTGCATCACTAGTAGTCGCGAAGCACGTAAGCTAGTTGTTGTTCTCTACTTCGATATATCTAGGGCATTTGACATGGTATCTCACAGTATTCTCTTTGAGAAGCTGTATTCATGTGGGATTCGCAATCCATTACTGAGCTGGTTAAAATCGTTTCTAAGCAATAGGGTACAAATAACCAAGGTTGGATCTGTATTGTCTCATCCTAGGCAGATCACAAGTGGGGTTGTGCAAGGTAGTGTCCTAGGTCCACTTTTATTTACAGTATACATTAACAGCATTTGCAACTGCTTCACCTCAGGTAAATCATTCCTATATGCTGACGACCTCAAAGTCGTTTACTCCTGCTACGCTCATGAACTAAGCGATATGGTAAATAAAATACATCTTGAACTAAGTGGTCTCGCAACATGGTGTACTGAATCCTGTCTAAAGTTCAACATTGATAAATGCGGCTGGATTTGTATCGGAAACAGTAACCTTGACCTGAATCTTGAAATAAATGGGCGTAAACTAGCCAAGCTCAACTCAGTCGTAGATCTCGGTATCAGATACTCTAGTAACTTAACGTTCTCTGAACAAACTGATTATGCCAGACGTAAAACACGAAGGCTCCTAGGATGCATAACTCGCAATTTCTTTTGTTGTGAAACTAGGGTTTTATTATATAAAGTATGTGTCCGACCTATTTTAGAATACTGCCCGTTTATTCTTAGCGGACTCAGACAAAATGACAAGCTTAAGTTAGAAGGAGTGCAACGGCAATTCACCTTAAGAATTCTTGGTTTAGAAAGTGGTCTCCAATACTATGAACGTTGCGACAGACTAAGTTTAGAACCACTCTGGAAAAGACGTCTTAAGCTAAACCTGATTTTTTACTACAAGCTAACTAATCTGCTCGTGCACTCCTCCGAGCCAATAATTAAACCTACCGCTGTCATCAGTTACAATCTTAGAAATCATCACAACCTAGTTGCTATAGAGCATTGTCAGACTTACATGCGGTATAATTTCTTCTTAAATAAGTTTTCAGTCATTTGGAATAGACTACCAGCTGATGTGCGCGATGCAAACACACTCGCAGTGTTCATCTCCTCAGTCACCAGACTGCTCAAAGATGACAGTGCACTTCTGAGTCTGAATCCTACACCCACTTTTTCGCCCAACATAGATATTTTAAGTTCATTAAACGTGTAGTTACAACAAACTACAATTATAAATTTTTATATTATTGGAAGTACATGATAGACATTTTTACACAGGACAATAATATTAGTTCACACAATATAAAAGTTAGCATCACGGGAATAGTTAGTTAGTGCACCAAAATAACTATAATTACTAAACAGAATATAAATGTATATATACATATTAATCACTCCCTAAGTACTCCACTTGCTTTCTTTTGCGTTGTTGTTGTTTGTCTTCTTTTGTCTCTCACCATTTCAGCTTCCATTTAACTTTTTGAATGAGAATGAAGAATGTAGATATTTGCCCATTTACAATGACAAATGATCTGCAAACATTATTGGTCCCATATCTTACAATTCCCTCGTGAATTGCGCATTGCCTTCACCAACGACGCAACCTGGATTACAGTTGTGAAATATACCTTTATACCAATAAAAAAGTATTGATTTATAATACTTCACGATTGTAACTTACAACATAACTGATCTTGTCTGCAAAAATAGCTTGCATTTCTTGAAAACACCCGTTTATAAGAAAATATAAACTGTCATTATTATTAGCCTACCTTGAGTACTATTCACTTGTGATGTTACGAAGAAAATGCTGACAAAAGTATACAAGTGTATTACTTATTTTAAATTATTATCAAATTTGGATATAAATCAAGAATAAGACTCGATGCCGTACACACCAAAGTTATATGGAGGAATTACTTCAAGCTTTATTTTTTTCCCAAGTATTTGTAATCCATCCAAAACATACTTGGGTTTTTTTGTTAATGCGAAGACAATATTTCTATATTTCTTGATGTGCTCCATTGAATGACTAGTTATCATATTGTTCCCATAGACAAAATGACTGCAACCTTATAATTTTACCATGAACCAAATTTATGTAATTTAAATAATACTTATCCATGCCTGTACAATTGGTGTGTCCTACACAGGTAGGAAAAAATGTATTTTATTAAATTACTATTATTAAATATGCTTACTAATCGTATATGTAATTTATCATATTGATGATGCCTGTAAACTGGCGTCCCTCATGTAAAAAATGAGAATATACTATTAT